GGGGAGGGAGGGGGAAGGCGCGCAGTGGGAGGAACGAGGTTCGGGGAGATAGGGGGGCGGTGGGAGGGAGGGGAAATTGGGGGGAAGAGGGAAAGATGGGGGATAGGATGTTCGTGGAGATTGATTGATTGATTGTTGATGTTCAGGAAATAGGGGGCACGAAGTGAGAACCAGGTGAGCGCCCTCCCCGCCTTTTTCTTTTTTCCCCCCCCGGACATCTTGTCCCTGCCAACACAGTCCAGACAGTCCGGTGTCCGGTGACATCCGGTGTCCGGTGATGTCCAGAACACCGGACAGTCCGGACTGGCCCAGACACAGGTCCGGGAAACAGTCCGGAAGTGTCCGGTGTCCGGGTCCGCGGTTACCATGCTACACGGCTTCCCAGTTTAACAGATACAGACTGAAAGGCTAACAGATAAACAGTTGATGCCATCAGTGGCTGACAGATTGAGAGATTGAAAACTGGACAGAGAGAGAGACAAACAGGTCGCATTGGACACAGGTGTTTGGGGAAACGGTTCAAAAAGAAAGCCTGAGCTCACGAGTTCATACCAATTATCACACGGTTCTCACGCCTCCCGTACATGCCCCCAACATTGGTGCTGACGCCCCGGTTACTTCTGGAAGCCTCCACAAGGAGGCGGCTCCCTCCGAAATAGTACCCATCAAGCTTCTTGATGGCATCTTCAGCATGACGTGGATTTTCAAACTCCACAAAGCCAAAGGAGAACTGCAGCTCCACACATTGCCAGCCAGTCAATTCCAATGAGTTCCCAGCTTTCCAATTTTAATTTCACTTTACTCTCTCTCTCTCTCTCTCTCTCTCTCTCTCTGTGTGTGTGTGTGTGTGTGTGTGTGTGTGTGTGTGTGTGTGTGTGTGTGTGCGTGTGTGTGTGTTGTCATATTCACTATACACAACTCCACAGAGAAAAGTATGACTGTGCCAGACTGCTTCGTCGGACTTTCAGCAACTCGTCAGAAGATTGTGTATGTACATGTACATACTACACAGCCACAATGCCCCCATAAATACATACACATCCATCATTACAGCCATGCAACTAACGGCAGCATCCCTCTTGCAATTCCACCGCAGGTTGGTAGGAGTTAAGCGGGCAAAGAAAAAAACTCTAGTATCTACATACGTATACATGTGAAGTTGTGAACTGCATATTGCATCATGAAAAAAGGATGAGCATTGAGCACATTAAATCACTGATGAGGCCGAACGAGAGGAGGCACAAGCACCTCTTGCCCAGAACTAGGAAGGGATAAAACGGCTGGGCCTTGTTCAGCCAAGACAGAAAGGTATAGACTCTATAGAGAATAATAGCATTTCTTACCACAAGCACCTCTTGCCAGGAACTAGGAAGGGACCAAAAAGGCTGGTCCTTGTTCAGCCAAGCCAGAAAGGTATAGACTCTATAGAGAATAATAGCATTTCTTACCACACTTCTTCTCTCCTTACCTCCCCTTTTTCTATGTAAAATTACCAGTACCAACTACTAGTTTGTGCAAGGAAAAATGAGCAATAGCAAAATGAGTCAAATGACAGAATTCCAGATTGCAAAATCACATTGAAAACCAGATAGTCGAAAGCTGTCCAGAAAGCAGAAAGGCACTGATGTCACACCGAAGGACAACCAAAGCGGGGAACTCAATTTTCAATGAAAGCATCCTCTTGCCACCACCAAGAATGTACTCGTAGCTCTTTCTACTAATGGTGCTCGGCGCCCAGACTACGATCCTGCAGCTACTACGCTAGCCTATCATAATGACAAAACAACCAGTTGACATCAGCAGCAGCAACCGAAGTGCATGCAGATGTTGACCATGCAGACCTCCGCCAGGACCAGGTACGTACTCTCACATCTCCCTCAGTCACCCTCTCTATGCTCACCCTCGTCTTCTCCACCCACATCTCATCACCATCCAAGGACCTCCGCCAATCCCCGCCAGCTATGGCAGCCCCAGGCCCGGCTATGGCTGCCTGGGCTACCTGCTCCCACGTGCGCCCGGCACTCGCTCGACCAGTGGCCTTCAGCACTCGAAGTGGCAGCGCTGCCGCATGAAGAGCAAGTGCCCGAATGAATCCCACATAGCCTGGCTCTTTCCTAAATGGAAAGCGGCCAGGCACAATGGCTGCCTGGACTGGGGCGTGCACGTGCCCAGTAGCTTCACTTTGGGCCAAAGTGTCTGCGCCCAGGCCCGTTCAGACAGTGGACTGGGCCCGCAGCAGTTAGGCGCGCCCAACCACCTCATGCAGAGTGAGGTGTTCCCTACTTTCTGATTGGTCAAGAGGCCAGCTTCCAAGTCTTCAGTAGATGAGCCTAGAAGGCTCAAGGACGATTCTGATGCTCGCGTGCAGGGCACATGTAACCAACTGGCTCGTGGCAACTGTCTGGGGCCCACTAAGGCTGGCAATTTTTGCAATATTCAGGCCCCTTTGAGATACAGGGCCCACCTTCACTTACAGCGGGCACATAGCTTGCCGCGGGGGCCCCATACGGACATGCCGAGGGCTCAGATCGTCGCATTTGCGTCTTCGAGACAATAAATCTGCATCGAATATACGAGTTCAATCATGCCAATCCATTGCATGTGTTATTCCCGGATGACGCCTTCAATACAATCATGATCCTTAGCTAATGCAGCTGGGCACTGATGAGATGTGAATTATGTCCAACATCTGTCCCACATGTCCCACATCTGTTCCACTCAACTTGCAGACCCATTCTAAACCCCTGCAAGCTCTCAGTACATGTACAATATCGTTCGGGCACACACACCTAGAAAGTCTGAAGGTGACATGCTCCTAAAATTCTTCATGAAGTGATAGCCGTTGCATCAACTAAGACAGTAAACCTGTACTGCCTGCAACCTGATTTGCGTTTACAACTGATTTCTTCAGCGCTATGTCGGCTGCGGTTGATGCTCAAAACTCACGTAATGATCGCTCTTAAATTTTGGCACGTCTCCTTCAGTGAGTGGTAGCCAAAGCGCGCGTTCATTAACTACTCGCCAGAGGTAGTCCTCCTTTTGGACACACCCCCCGAAATAAAATTAATGTCGGCTGCGGTTGATGCTCAAAACTCACGTAATGATCGCTCTTAAATTTTGGCACGTCTCCTTCAGTGAGTGGTAGCCAAAGCGCGCGTTCATTAACTACTCGCCAGAGGTAGTCCTTTTGCACACACCCCCTGAAACAAAATTAATAATCGCTATAGCTGGGGTACTCAGAATTGTGCACTCTCTTCGGGTACCCCCCTTGAGTCCGCTAGGCTAAGCCTTTCATTTGCGCCAGGTACACAGCTGCGAGTTTCAGAGGAGGGGATTGTGCACTGGTGGTTTAATCAATGGCGCAAGGGATTCTCAACCCTACGGAGAGAACACTACATGAGAGGTCCTTCAAAAGTGCCCAGTGCTTGCCACAACAATCATGAACAGGCGTCGACTGTCTTTGCCGATGGGAAAGGGCATTGAAACCACCTAGATGTCCCATGCATCTTCCCAGGTACGATATATTGTCAGTCAAGTACACGTTCGGCCATGTTTTCCAAGTGGCTGGGGTGGCAAGTCTGTCCTGAAATGGTAAATCAATGGAGCAATTGATTCTCCGACTGGTATACAGAACACTGCATGGGAGTCCAGCCGAAAGGGTCCGCTATTGGCAGCAATGGTGAAGGACTGGCTTCAACGACCTCTGTCAGAGGAGAAGGGCATTCAAAACCACCTGATGTCCCATCCTCAGTTGCTGTTGGGGTACATCCACAACAATTGTGGATGGGCATCGACCCCCCATGCCGTCTTACTGCATTAGATGTCATCACATGTTCTACGTCCCTAATAGAATGCAGATAATGTGGTCGATGAGTAGAAGGGATGAGATGCTTTATTCCCGTCAAGGAGATGTGGGGAAGGAGGTGAAAACGCCATGATAGTAAAACTCATGTGATCTTCTTCTTATTATTATCCATGATTATTTGTTCTCATCTCAATGTGGTCAGGTCCATGATACAATCTCCTTGTATGCTGATTTACCGGATAAAAGGTCTGCATCAACTCGATCACACCTCCCGGGAAAACTAGCTGAAGCCGAATACCTGTTCCCTAAGTGTCCTGCCTGGTACCTATTCGTTCCCAGAAGTATCGGACAGAGGTACCCAGGAGTAAGTGGACGTCCCCGATACCCTCGTCTGACGGCAATGATTCGGACAGGACTTCCTCTAAAGAACGAAGCCAATGACCACCACTTCTCAACCCAGGTGCCGATGTTCTCCACCACGGTATGCCATCATTAAGGCCTTCGAGTTGTGAACCCGTAGCTCGTCAGACTCTGCGGGCTAATCTGAGGGATCCAGGAATTTCAGCATGCTCGCTCGGACCCTGTCCCCTTTTTCTTCGTTCGGAGTCTTTGCAGCACGCGTGCATGCATACCAACGGCTTCTGCACAGTGCGACATGGCCAACCTCACCGCACACAGCAACAACGCACACAGCTTTTATACTCGCTGAAATTACACCAACTCACTCCGGGCAAAATCTAGACGTCTGAAACTGCTCTCTAACAGAGAGTCTACTACTTACTGAGTAATACTTCGTAAGGCCTATCTTAAGGCCTTGGACCAATTCTTTGCCCGAACCGACATCCTGATTGTCGAGACTCAATCGAAGCCTGTTTGTTGTCATGGGCAAATCATTCCCCTGAAAAAAGATCCTGGTGATGGTCACCACTCTACGTGTGAGGCCTCTTTGAAATCGACTCTATGTGTGTCTGTTTAGATTGCCCAAATGGCACGATAGGGGTTTTGCCATTCAGGGAGAGGATCCCGGTGGGAGAAGGCGGGAGGCAAAAAATTAGGATGACCACGCCCCCGGTCGCCCTAGCGCTTCTCAGAGGAAAATGACTAAGAAACTGCCAGCACGCATGGACCTTGAGAGAGTGGGTCCTGGTGCAGAGAGAGTGAGTGCACATGTGCGATGATGTTCCACAACGTGGCACACAATCAAGATATCACTCGGGGCACATTCTACGCACACACATGTCAATTAATGAAAAGAACCACAATGGGTGTGTGGAAACACCATGAGCGCATGACAGAAACACTATATTTGTGCAAGGGCACAGCAACACTGACAACAGCAGCAGCAAATGGATCCGCACATTTGAGCCTAAGCCCTCCTCTGTGCAACCACGGATTCGAACCGGCAACCTCAGCCTCAAGAGCCAGGTATCTTAACCACTACAGCCAGGACACAGTGTTCAAAAGTGGAACCATACCGTCGGGATAGAAGCCCCACCCCTGCAAGGCTGTAGACAAAACTGAATGCTACCCAATGAACAGCATCTTGTCACCCAAGCTTTTGTCACACATTGTCACACATGCTTACCAGCCAAAGTTTTCGACACACATTCTCATATTGCTACCAGAGTGTGTCTCTTTTTTTTGCTTACCATCGGTCACGCATGTATCTTGCCGTTTTCAATGTGAAGATGCACACACTCTCTACTTTGCACTCTGGTGAATAGTGCAGTGGGCCAGTTAGACCTGAACCCTGTGTCCTGATTTACTGCATAGGGCCTTGCTCCACCGCCGTCAAATTTGCAACAGTGCTGTCCTTTTCAAGCGTGCTTTTCAGTCAAAGAGTGTCCAACTGTGCAACGGCCGCCCAACTGACTCTCGACCGCAGACCTCTCGAGCCACTCTCCATTATTGTAAGACAAAAGCACGGGAGATACAGGCAAAGAAAGAAAGATAGCAGGTGGGTCCTACGCCCCTTGAAAATTTTCCAAGGGCCCATGGATAGAACAACCGGCCACTCTCGTAATTCAGGTCATTGAAGGCTGGGCACTCTCAAGATGCCTAGAGTGAGAGTTCTGACGCTATAGTGAAGCAACATCCCCACTAAATGAATTGCCAGCTCCGAGAGCGCTTGAGAAACGCCCGAACGGTGAAGTAAGGGCCTCAGGGGCTCGCACACCACTCCCGAACGGATAAAGCGCAAAGAAGAATCCATGCCGCTCTTGACTTGAAATCTTCAGCGGTTTCCGCTGCTTCAGCTGCTCCACATCGGAGGCATACTCACAGCCGAACTTTTTCTACTAAATTTTGGACGTGATTGCAGATACATCCAGTCCGTGTACGTGATTCCAGTCACATACATTTGAGATAGTGCTTTTTTCTTCTCTCTTTTCTTTTTTTTTCTAGGATGCCGGGAGTCCTCCCTGGTCTCTACTCTCGAAAGCTGTGTGTCACGCTCTCGGACTACGTCCCATTCTGCTGAGCGCATGAGAACAAAGAAAAAAGTCCACGGCTGGGTCCCAACATGAGGCCGACTCTTCCAAACTCCAGCTCTCCATACTCTGACTTCGGCCTCGCTCAACAACTCACCAAATGTGCACAACGAGAACGAATCTTGCACTATAACATGGAAAGATACAGCGCCATATGTTTTGTCTTTTGTGCATGTGGTGAGTAGAGGAGCTAGAAGAGGCCCTTCATCGTGGGAACGGGAGAGGTGATTGGATTTTCAACAGTGCACGGGGGCTGAGGACTCTCCGCTCCAACGAACCCTCCCGACAACTCTCGATCAATTCTTTCTTTCAAGTTTCAAGCGCTCCTGTGGCGTCGAGCGCTCAGGTGGAGTCGAGCGCTTCAGCAGAGCAGAGCCCCAGTCTAAGGGCATCGCCACACCACTCTCGAAACGTGCAAAATGAGAATGAACTTCTCGCCAGATCATGGCCAGATGCGCCCGCCACATTTTTGTCTTTTTCACATTTCGACAGTGGTGCGGCGATGCCCTAAGGAAATCTTGAATCAAGAGTAGTGGAGCGAGACCCTCCATGTGGCAATGGGCTGTTGCAGTCTGGCGTGCCACTGTAGTCCGGGAGTACTCGCAAAGACCTGTCTGACAGCTCCCGTGGTTCAGGAGTACTCAGAAGACCTGTCTGACAACAATCAATGTGCTTTTTAAAAAAAATTCTGAGTCTTTTTACCTTTTGCCTTTCGTCAAAAGTTTTATGAGTTGGTGTGGCACCGGATGTACTCTCCAAAAGGCTCCTTTCAAAACACACACAAAAAAAAGAAGGCTCCTTTCGAGAGTGGTGTGGTAAGCCCCCGTATTCTGGTCATTTTTTTTTCTGAAAGTGGTCAGACTCTCCATACCGAAAGTCTATACTTGTTATTACAATTAGTGTGGCACCAGACATGGAGGAAGCAAAACAGAAAAGCTGACGAAGACAGAGTCTGACGTGCAGGTGAGGACTACATTTTGAGCCCGGGAGTTCCAAAACCCAGGTGTCTAAGGACGACAGCAGGAGAGTACAGGAGCGGAGAGGGAAGGAGTTCAGTCATTTCCATCATAATGCACAGGCATTCGACGAGGAGAAAAGTGAAAGTGGCATTGTGGAGAGGGTGTTATGGTGGATTAATTTCACTGTGCGGTACCTTCGCACCCACCACAGTCAGGGTGCTCGAGCAGAATAGTGAATTCCTGAAAGCGACTCAGCCCTGGGAAAGGCAGGAAAGTTTGCTATCGTTTTTTTCTTCCGCAGGATTGTTCTCACGAAACTGACCCGCTCTGCTCCAGGTATTTGACAGGTATCCAGTCCATCTGATTCCAGCAGGATTTGATATCATGCAAGAGTCCATGGATGTACCACTCAACCACATGGGCTGGATGGCCGCAGGACGGTTCGTTTGTTCTAAGTAAGCTATATTCTTCTCTAAAATTCACATTTTACTACCTACCTACCACTACACCTAAGGCTATATACAGGGGACCCCTGCAAGCATAGCTACCTCTTACAATTAAGGAGATGAGTGGTGCCCTCACCCTAATCGGCAGTGGCCAGGG